CTCTCTCACTTAGGAATTGCCGTGGCGCATGAACACACTTGGCGAGAAGGAAGAAGGAGGACAGGCAGCAGTTGGAGAATAGGCAAAGTAACAGGACGAAAACCCTCTCCCTTCCCCTATTTGAGGAGGAGGTCCAACAGTTGGAGAAATGCAAAGGATTGAGGCGAAAAAACCCTCTCTCTTCCCCTATTTAATGCAGATGGGAATGTGATGGGACGCGTCCTGACCGATGGGATGCGCCCTACCCGACGAGACGATGCTCAGTTAGAGCAGACGGGCGTGGCTGGGCATGGCCCACCACTCACTCGCTGCATGGCCGGGAAACAAGGCGCAACAGACGCGTGGCGGCCCTCTGCCTTCCAGGCCGGGACTTGAAAGGGCCCAACACCGGGATCTCCGCCAAGGAGAGACCAGCGGGCTTCTGAGTCGATCGGATGGCTCAAGCGAATGCGAGAGATAGATAAGGAAGCGGAGAGGATGGCCCATGCGGCTATACCGATCTCCATCCTGAACGGGTGGACCACGGATCCGGTCGGACACATCAAACAAGAGCCCCTCAAACCCATCACTCGAGTCATCAAGGTAACTTTACCAAAACATTTTTTCTCATTTATTTGTATGATCATTCATTCATCATTTCTCATACACACATTCGCACATTCATCCATGCACGCATTCATTCATCCCATACATCCCAAGCATCATTATATGCGGTTGATGTATCACAACACTTCGATGTTGCATCACGAAGCGGTAGTTGCCTCATTCAACATGAGCAGCGATCGACGAGGAGTTGAAGGTCGGTCCACGAAGGGCTCGAGCCGCCTACGTGTCAAATAGAGCCGGGGAGAAAATGCGAGATGAGCCCCCAAACCCTGCCGCTGATATGCTCGAAGCGAGCGGGTTCATCTCAAGCTTCTCGTTCGATCCTAACCTCGAGCCATGCCCATATAATCTCCATCAAGGGGAGGCCAGCGGGCCACCGGGGCCAGTCTTCGGAATGACCCGGGCATCTACCGGGATGTGGGTTAAGGAGCAGTGGAATGCCACATGAGTGCTATGTCAACCCCATCACGAACAACGGATCCTGATTTCACTCGAAACATGCCCGTTAGCGAGCTCACCGAGCGTGTCACTGGAGCCATCGAGGCAAGCGACATTAGCTCAGCCCCTCCGGTTGCGGAAACCACGGATGGGGCAACGCACGAAACTCTACTGACCCCTACCGAGCCCAACGGGGCTTAGGGGCTCGGGACGACCGACCCCTCGACGCGCCCGATGAATACGCCCAATGCCTGGATCCACGAGTTAGTCTCGCCCGGTCCCCGACCGTCGGGCGTAACGCCTTGGTTGGCGTCTCGACTCGCTTTCGATCCTCGGCCGCCCTGACGCCTAGATCCAGTCGATCTCGCTGATCCCTCGGTTGCGCTCGGCGCTGGATCCGCGACTACGACTCACCCGATCCAAGCGCGACCAGCGCTGGATCCACGACTTTGACTTCGCCCGATCCTCGGCGGCAGCGCCACGCGCTGTGGTTGATGACTTCTCACTCGCCCAATCCTCGGTAGCACCCGGACTTTGAAATTGCGCCCACGCCTAGGTCCGTGACTCCGTCTCGCTTTGATCCTCGGTGCGCGATGCTCGGATCCATGACTCGACTTGCCGATCCACGGATCCGCGACTCGAGACTCACCGAACCCTCGTGGCGCCCGACGCCTTGTTGACGACTCCGTCTCGCCCGGCTCCCTCGGCCGCGCCCAAAACGCTGGGTCCACACTCCTAGAAATGATGGATCAACAAGCCCGAAAGAGGAGGCTCGCCCATCAAGGTGCACTCGCGCTGCGCCACTAACAAAACCCCAGCACGATTTCTACGAATCACCCGAGGCTCGGGGGCTACACCCACCGGGTCTTTCAGGCGCACTCTGCAATGCCAAACGAAAAAAATTCTCCCCCGACACACACGAAATACCCTCTAGGCGATTCTACCTAAATCACCTGGGGGCTACACCCACTGGGTGCGCTCGCGCGCATCCGCTGGCAAAACGAAAAATCCCCTAGACGATTCTACCCGAATCGTCCGGGGGCTCGGGGGCTCCTGTCGGGTTCATAAACCCGGGGTTCCTAATGGGTCTGCTTCCAAACAAAAAGCCCAGCCCAGCAGACGATGTTGCGAACGACGCGCAACTCCTGGGACGGCCCTGATACCAAAACGACAGGCCGGAAGAACGATCCAGCCTCCAACCGGAAGGCCTAGCCAAAGAGAGGGCGACGCTCGTTTCTGACTCCGACCACGTTTTCGACCAGAAGGCCTGACCAACACCTGCTTCCGACTCCGACCCGTGTCTCCGACCGGGGATACACCAAACCACTGCTTACAGCTCTTTTTCGACTAGCACAGTCGGAGCCGACTGTGACCAATCGACCGGGGACGCCCGCTCAGTGAGGACCCAGGAAACAGGTAGAGCAAGTAAGGCAGGGCGCTCAAGTCAACCGCAGCATCGAGGACCGTACCCTGCACACCTGTAGGACAGTATTGTCAGACCATGTCAGAATGGTGCTCTATTACCTTTCAGACATGTCAGAACCTAAACAGTGTTGTAGGCGCCGGCATTTGCCCTACAGTGTTGTGGACGCCATCAATTCCCGTATCAGGCAAACACGGTAAAGCCCCCACATGCGTCTGGACATCCACAGTGTTGTGGACGTCGGCATTTACCATACCTGGTGAACACGGTAAAACCTTCTACATGCGTCTGACATAAACAGTATTGTAGGCGTCAACAACCATCTTGTACCCGACGGCGTGGGCAACAAGACTTGTAGCATATATACACTCTCTCTATTGTAAGGCCGTTCCCTTCATCTATAAAAGGGGACTTGTTCTCTCCCAACGGAGGACAATTGACAGACATGATCGATTCAACACATGACAACAAGAACCAATATACTCGAACCTCGAGCATATAGTTGAGCAGCAACCGAGCTCTTAGCGTCCTTTCGATCTTTCCATCAGAGACTTGGGACCTGTCCCTCTCTCGTCCGTTTGTAACCCCACAACAAACTTTAAACACCTGGGCTCAGGAATAAAATCTCCGACCGACTTAAACTAGACGTAGGGCACGTTGTCTGAACAAGTATAAACCATGTGTCATTGAGTGCTAGGCCACATCCGATCACAACGTATGACAAAACTATAAATATTTATTTATTGGTCACTTTCTGCACCGACAATAATATAACATCACAGAAAATGAAGCGAGCGCAGTTCCCGAGTCTAGCAATTAATTAGCACAAGTATGGGCCCACCTCACTCACGTCTCACTCAGCTTACGCATGCACGAACTAAAAAAATCATAACTACTAAAGGAAACATCAAAATTAACTTCCGATTGCACCATCAGATTTCTTACAATAAATGCTTCAAAATAAGATCCCACATAGATATATTTAGATAGATTTTTATTAACGAACATTTATCTTATAAAGATATAATATTTTTTATTGAGCAGAGACGATGTTCTAAGTTTAGAGAATAATGTTCTATCTTATTAAGAAAAATATTCTTTGTTTAGAAGAACAGTATTCTAGTTTTAGATTTAGGATATTAGTATTATAATATAAATATAAATAAATAAATAACATAAATAAATAATAATAAAATCTAGAGTAAAGCATAAGGAATAAAAATATAATGTAATAGAGAAATTTGAAAAGAACATCACATGGATATTTTTCAAACATCCTAAATTATACTATAGAAATATCACATGTATACTAAATGAACATCACTAAATACCCCATAGAACATCACTAAATATATTATACAACATCGCATATATATTACATGAACATAACTAAATACATAATAGAACATCACATATATACTGATGTATACTGTGTGAATATAAAAAACATCATAAAACATCACATATATAATACGAGAACATCACATGTATATTACGCGAACATCGTAAAATACAACCTAAAACATTACATGCATACCACGTGAACATAAAAAAAACAGCACATGTATACTACGCGAACATCACAATTAAAAATATAAAAAACATGAATCAAAGAAAAACATAATTAGAAAAGAAACAAATAAAATAAATAAAAATAAATCAAAAGAAAAAAGAAAAGAAAAGATAAAAATGGAACATCACATTTTTAACACGCGAACATAAAAAAATAAGAAAAATAAAAAAAATAAAAAATAAAGAAACATAAAATATAAAAAAATAAAAGAATAATAAAAAAATCACATAAAACATAAATAGAAATAAAAATAGAAAATGAAGCACTGAAGAAAAAAAATAGAAATAAAAAACAAATGAAAAGAGAAAGAAAAAGAAATGAGAGAAGAATAAGGAAAAGAGAAAAATAATGAGAAAAATAAAAAATAAAATAACAATAAAAAACATAGAAAACTTAAAATGAAAAGAAAAAGAGAGAATAAATAGAAGCAAGGAAAAACAGTAAAAAGAAATCAAAAGAAAAATAAAAGGTAAAGAAAAATAAGAAAAGAATAAGAAAAGGAAAGGAAATAAAATAAGAATGAAAAACATAGAAAAAGAAAAAAATAAAGAATAAATAGAAGCAAGGAAAGAAAATGATAAAAAGAAAACAAAAGAAAAAATAAAGGAAAGAAAAAATAAATAAGAAAAGAATACTAGAAAGAAAAGGAAACATTACGTACCGTAACTGTCTCCCGCGCCTGGTCTCCCACCGTCCCGCGTAACTGTTCCCACGCGTGGCTTCCCGCCCACGGTTCCCGCGCTCTGTTCGGCGCGCGCTTGCGGTCCGGCCGTTCGGACGCGATGGTTTTCGAACGAATCAGTAGCACTTGCTCGTAAACGATCATAAATTTTTAGCTGGAAATAGTGTTTTTCTCTCACACCAAACCAGCCAACAGTAAATAATCCACGATACGATACGGCCTCCCGAACAGGCCGCAGACCTTTTGTTGTTTGTGCCTAGTGAGGGAAAGCGGCGAAGATGGCGGCCGTGGAGATGCCGGAGCTCCCGCCGGATCGCCTGGGTCAGGTGCTCCACCGCCTGCCGTCGCTCGCCGACCGCGTCCGCTTCTGCACCGTTTGCTGGCCCTGGCGTACTGGCGCCAACGCAGAGAGGTTGTCCGCTCCGCTCCCGTGGGGTTTTTTTTTTTTTGCAATTTGACCTTTTTTGAAAAGAAAATTCTAAGAGACGCAAACTCATCTTTGGACCCTAGAGGTCGGCGTCAGGATTCATGGCGCCGAGATAACATGTCTCGGCACAACAGATCTTAGCTCCGAGGTGCCTAGCCAAGCACAATGAGACATCCTAGATGATGTTGATGTGATCGGTACCATGTCCGTCGAGCTCGGCGCCACGCACCCTGACGCCGAGCATATTCAAAAATCCGACAACGGGACAGTCGAAGCGGTGGGCAATCCTGTAAAATCCACACGGTTAAACAAAAGCGGCTGCGAATCACTGTGCGCGCGGCCCCAGATTTCCAGAACTTTTAATGCGCCTCAATTACTCCACCCTCCCTCCCCACTGCAGTTCTGCAGTGAGCCCACGCCACGCCCGCCCATGCACCTCCGCTCCCAAGTCCCAAATCCCAACCACGCGCACGGCGCGCGCGCATCTCATCTGCCGTTTCCCGTTTGCGTAAAATAAAAGTGTCCGTTTTCTTCTCTTCTATTCCGTCCAGAGGGGATTTGTAGCATTGTTATCTTTAATTATCTCCCGTTTCTTCTTCTTCCGTGCATGCCGTCGTTTTGCACCATTACACTTTGCCGCTTTATGGCAGGAGCAGCCTGTTGACCTGACCGACTACTGACAGTTTTGAGGACGGGCGGCGTTGTCTTCTTCCCCAACCCCCGCAGGCCAGGCCTAGCTGCTTCGCCTTTTTGCTTGCAGAGGATTTGTGTCCTCCGGTTCTCCTCCCCCGCTTGGCTGGCGGTGGCACACTCGCCGCTGTCTTCTTTGCCCCAACCCCAAACAAATCCTCCCCACAGAAACAAAGAGCGATGATATCCCCCACATGTACGTAGAAATAGTAGAACCTGCCACCTGCCGCGCCTGCTACCCCCACTCCACTCTCCCCACCCACCCTCCTCCTCACGCCTGCTACATGTGTCTGCGACCCGCATCCTCCTCCTCACACGCCTCTGTGCTGTGACCACCCCGGCATTAACTGCCCGCATTGGTGGTTTCCAGAGTGCTGGGCGAAGGCCTCTTTTCGCTTATTTTATAATCTATCTTTTTTAGTTTATTTTTCTAGTTGTAACCACGTTTTTTTTCACAACAAATCAGTTGGAACAGTGTTTTTGCTTGTTTTTTCAGCGAAGTGAATGGGGCCGAGATCTGTGGCGCCGACCTCGGCGCCATGTATTCTGGCGCCGAGGTACCGGCCATGTCAACACCACCTAGGATGTTCTGCTGTATTTAGGCAGGCAACTCGGAGCCAAGATCTGTAGCGCCGAGACGTGGTAGCTCGGCACCATGAGTACTGGCGCCGATCCTAAGGATTTAAAGATGAGTTTACGTCTCTCAGTGGATCAAACGTATTTTTTCTAGAAAAAAAAAGACCAAATTATAAAAATTTGGGTGGTTCGCACAACACAGCTCGCGCTCGCAAAGCTCTGTCGGGGATGCAAAAGTCGTGCAACGACCGAAGAACGCTCATAGTTCAAAGGTCTCCTCTTTGGAGCATTTTTTGTGGCCATCCCATTCGGCTGAAGTGTTTCGGTTTTGATTCCGTCGGTTGAAAAGTTGTCTTTTGGCTTGGTACATAGATTGAAATGTTCTGTTTTCTTCACCGATGGGTTTGAAAGTAGAAAAACTATTACTGCATTTCGTAGCGTGTGGAGTAAATGTACGTTGGCAGGGCTAGAAATAGGTTGTGGGTGACTATTACGATCATGTTGTTTCTGTTTTTTAGACTCAAAATGTTGCTTTCAACCACTTCATTTGAATGTGGGGGAGTATGGGAGCACAGGTTGTACAGCTCTGCTCTGTCGGGGTCTAGAGTCATAGAACGACGGCTCATCGATCTTGTCTTTCGAGCATTTTATGTGGCCTTTGACACGCAATCCATCCGTTGAAATGGTATGTTCTCTTACTCTGTCGATTGAGAACTTCTGTTTTTCGCCTGGCCGGTAGAGTCGGTTGAAATGTTCTGCCCATTTTTTATCGATTGGTTGACATATTGTACAACAATTGCTGCATTCTGTAGTTTGGACGCTGGAGTAGAATAAGATTGGTTGACATATGTTGGCGGAGCTCTAAGCTCTTGTAGCTGGAGCTACGAATAAGATTGAGGATGTCTTGAATAAGTCATCTTGGCTCTAATTTAGTGGAAAAATGGTGTGTTTAACGACTTCATTCTGCAGGAACCAATTAACATATGAGCTGGAGCTCCCCAAAAGTCCAAATCAAAATAGGCTGCTATACTAAACAGAACCATGCATGTGTGCGACCTACAGCTACAGGAAAACCGAAAGCGATGTGAGCAACTACTGTGAAGCTGCCATGATGACTTTAATAATTATTAATATAAAACGTGGCGATAAAATTAGCCAAAACATGACAATCAATAGCGCCGTGAACGAGTCAAACATGCCATCATCATGATTTTTATAGCCTGCGTTCATATCCTTAAAAGGGCCGCTACTCACAGCTTGTTCACAGAATCGCAGCACCATTGGCAGCTCAAAACCCAGCTTTGATCAGAGAAGCTCACGAGTTGCAGCACCATCTGTCAGGATGCTGAGAGCAACGCACCTCGCTTTCAGGTTTCTCCTTTCAGTCGCTGCTGTTGTGTTTCAGAGAAATCAGTTATTGTAGAGTTAAAATTCTGTTTTTGTTTCTTTCATGCACGAATTATCGCTTTGTTAAGCATTGCCACCGATGACTAATCGTGCCTTCTTGAACGCAGGAGGGACAAGGGTACAGCTGCGGGAGCCGTCTTACGTGGCGTCGTCGGTGGCTTCTCAACGGCGTCAGACTCTCAGAGGCTTGCCGGCAAGGTCGCCGTCATCACCGGCGCGGCCAGCGGCATCGGCAAGGCGACGGCCGCCGAGTTCGTCCGGAACGGCGCCAAGGTGATCCTCGCGGACGTGCAGGACGACGCCGGCCGCGCAGTGGCCGCCGAGCTCGGCCCCGCGGCGTCCTACACCCGGTGCGACGTGACGGACGAGGCCCAGATCGCCGCGGCGGTGGACCTCGCCGTGGCGCGGCACGGGCGCCTGGACGTGCTGTACAGCAACGCCGGCTTGGCAGGCGCGTCGGTGCCCGCGCCGCTGGCGTCGCTGGACCTCGCGGACTTCGACCGCGTCATGGCGGTCAACGCGCGGTCCGCGGTGGCGTGCCTCAAGCACGCCGCGCGCGTCATGGTGCCCCGGGGCGTCGGCTGCGTCCTGTGCACGGGATCCACCACGGGCATGCTCGGCGGCCTCGCCGCGCTGCCCTACAGCCTGTCCAAGGCCACGGTCATCTCCGTGGTGCGGGCCGCCGCGGACGAGCTGGCGCGGTCGGGCGTACGCGTCAACGCCATCTCGCCGCACGCCATCGCCACGCCGCTGCTGGTCCGCTCCCTCGCCAGGCTGCACCCGGGCGTGTCCGACGAGCAGCTCAAGCGGCTGGTGGAGACTGGCATGAGCGAGCTCCGTGGCGCGGTGCTGCAGGTGGAGGACGTGGCGAGAGCAGCCGTCTACCTGGCCTCCGACGAGGCCAAGTTTGTGACCGGGCATAACCTCGTGGTTGACGGTGGGTTCACGGCCAGCAAGCGGATCGGCGCGCCGGCGGCAAGCGGAACCGCTAGCTGACCATTCTCCTGGTCCTGGGAATAATACGATGTACTTCCTGGACAGCGGTGAAAATGGTACGGATATTTTCCGACAGTGCTCAAGTTCGAATCTATTTAGAGTTCAAATCTCTCTGTACCCAAGTCCAAATATTTAACATCCGATACCGTATCCGTACTTGAATATTCAAATCACATAAGTATTTATGATGCTGATATCCATTCGTATCCTATCCGACATAGTTGATATTATCCGTATTCGAATCCGAATCCGAAAAAATATGAAAACAAATATAATATCTAGGGGTGAAAACGGTACAGATATTTTCCGACCATATTCGAGACCGAATTCGTTTAGAGGAGTTCGGATCTATCGTATCCGAATCTGGATATTCAACACCAAATATCGTATCCGAATACTCAAATCATATATTTATGATGTTGATATCCAATCATATCATACGACATAGTTGACACTATATGTATTCAAATCTGAATTCGAACATAAATATAAAAACAATTATAATATCAGTGATATTCGTTCCTACCCAATCCGTTTACATCCTAGTAATATAATGTCCGTATCCGACCGAACCAACACCAAACCTATCATTGTACTAGTTCCTTGTATTGAATGGAGACAAAGGATGCACCTGTGATTGATATATAGAGACACTTATCTCTCTATTCCATCTCTGACTTATAGTAACGTTGACGCTTAAATTGAGCTTAGGCCGGTTTTAGAATCGGCCCATGTAATTTTGGCCCAATCTAAGAAAAACCCTATGCAACAACTTAAAAATAGTACCACATTGGTTTTCTAACGGGATAAGACCATCCTCATTCCATATAAAATATGGGGTACATGGCTAATTGAGGTATCTAACTACACAATCGATCTATTATCAATTTATATATCCACTTTTACCCCTTATTACCTCTTCCATTACGTTCTAGCTGGCCTTGCCGATCCTAGAACACACCGTCTTGTATCTCCCCGACAGGTCTTTCTGAGAGGCGTTCATGGGTTATCGAGTGAAGAACGAGCGTCTAATCAGCCTCGTCGACCTACTGATCAGCTTGGCCATTGGGACCTCCCTTTGCTGCGTGCACCAGGCCGGTGCGTGACCTGATCGATGTCAACAGGTAAAATGTTGACCAAAAGAAAAGTAAACAAACGTTATATCTCTCAAACAAACCTAATATAACATCTTGCTAATTGTTAGCTGAGCACACACCTAAGAACTAATTTTATTTGTTATCCTAATCATGCTAATAGCAGCTATAAATTACAAAACTAGATTTTTGCTCTTACACCTACCTGTATCCACGATTCTCTCGCAACATTAAATATAAAAAGAATAGCAGTAGAGACAAAAACCGAGCAACAATAAATATAAAGAAAAGGGCATTAGAGACAAAACACTCATCACATCCACATTTTCGTTGTTGGATCCAAACAACACCTAAGTAATAGTTAACTGGCTAGCTAATAGTTAGCTAGCTAATATTATATATAAGCTATTAGCCAGCTAACTATTAGCAGATAACGAATCCTCCAAATAGGGCCTTACCTAGCTAATTTTAACTATCATCTATTAGATGATGGATCAAACAGGCTTGCCTAACACCGATATTAGAGATATGCAAACTTTCGTGCAGCAACCAGACGGATCTTATATAACATATCAAACTCAAACTACGTAAATAAAATATATTTTTGTCAGTTCCCGATTCAAGCGGGCAGAACGAAAGTGGTGGCCAGCCAGATAACCGAACGATATTCTCAGCCGGAGCTACAGAAATGGAACTACAGTCTACAGCGACACGTATCGGGCATGTTTGATTCTCATGCATACCATATACAGATGGGAGGGCAGCCAACCCAAAATTTGGCAGCAGACCAAACGAAAGCCAATTAACCAAAATTTGGACTGACATCCTTTAGCACTCATGGACGGTACATTTAACATTTTGCCACTAGTAGCGTGAGTGCGTGACCTGTCTAATCCCTCTCACATCCACCTGGCTCACAAAGTAGGGGCTGGCTAAATATTACAATTTGGTTCATTGCTTGCATGGACTTTCTTCCTCGATAGCAAGATTCTTCCTCGATAGCAACAACGTTGTAGGCAAAAGAATCAAGCATATCCTAAACCTTTGAAGAAGCCAAATACTCTCAGCACTTATCAAATAGATATTACATCATTTCGTTCTGCGGGTGTGCTTAGTTTCTTCTCTACCCCTACTTAATCTACATTACATGAACAAAACCTTCTACTGTAAGCACAAGAGGGGAGCTCTTGATCTGAATAACTAGACAGTTTATGAACAACGCTTCTAAGTTTTGAATGGAGAAGTCATGTAATCATATTGTGCTGCTTCTGTAAGCTTGTAGCTTATGTTACATACAAAGAGGGGTTTACTCCAGCAGTAGACACGAGCCGCTGTGATATGTAACCCCGTACAAGGTATCTCTACCAAAGAATCATCTATATGTTGCTCCGCCAAGCAGAATTGGATTATAGTGGCTGGAGTTCTTGCTCGGGCACCACTGAATCAACAGGTCTGTAGGCAGTTTGACCACTAAATTTCTTTCTCCAAACAAGTACTACTAAAAAGGCTGACAAAGTGACCAAAACAACTAGTAAAATCCCAAGCAGTATAGAGACTACATGTTCTTGAAACCATGACCTGCACCCAAAGGAAAAAGGAAGCTAAGTTCTCCAGAAGCATTGGCATTCAAGCGAATAAGATGGATGGCTACTGCAGAAGTTAGTACGCACTATAATAATTCATAAAGTTATCTCATGGAACTTTTCTTTTGGTGCTGGGGGAGAGTGATGTAAATAAAACAGAACATGAGACAATAAAACAGACTATGCCCCCCCACACACAACACAATGCAGCTTATAATAAACATTCCTCACCTTCTCGGCAAAGGCTGCACATTCCACTCGAGCAATTGATAACTGCCAAGATTTTCAGGCAACTGAACATGATGCTGAGTTAACCGATAGATGATACCCTGGCATAAATCAATAGAATATAAATTAATGTGCAAAAAAAAAAAAAACTGATCCGAAATAGTTATAATAGGTTCAAGAGTATGCTACCATTGCTGTTGCGTTGGACATAGCATTATCAGATCCTGCTGGGAAAATACCCCATCTAATCAGAGTAGAATTTCCTTGGCTCGTAATATTCATAACTCGAACCTGCCAAATTAAATAGCAGCTTCAGCCAAATCACCATGAAGCAATATCAAAACAACTATGAGATTAGGGCAGACTAAAGTAAATGAACATATAATACAAACACAAATGTTCTTCAATCCCGCCTGAAAAGAACCACTCGCATAACTAGCACAACCAAGTTGTTGCATACTTTTAATTCTTATTAATACCTGACGAGAGTCAATCTCCAGCTCTTTAGCTATCAGCTCGGCCAGCTCATGGAGATGAGGTTTCAGATTTGGGTAGGTAACATTTATGGACATATCAACAGTGATGAGACCAACATCAAACTCTGCAAGCCGAAGATCAACAAGTATGATAATCATGTCTATCAGTACTGTAAACCAAGATAGAAATATAGGGCACTAAGGAAAAGTAGTGGGCATTGGCACAGTCCATTGCTCCTATCCAGAACAATAATATTTATTTAAACTACATAAAAATAAAGTGTGCTATTGTTGCCAAAAAAAATTTAACAAACACCAATTAAGAAAATATGTACTTATTGCTTTAGCTTACAGTAATCGGCCTGGTTAGTGGTTATTAACAAAATTACTATAGGCATATGAAATGCGAACCAGATTATTGTGCAAGCCATAAAGACTGGTGAATGTACCATCAAACTCAAAGAACTAAGTAGGTAAACAAAAATTGAGTAAAGCATGGGTCGAATTGCGGCTTAAAGGACCTTCAAGAGAGGCAGATTGATTGTTTGCCTCATTTCATATAAAAAACTTAAGCCCTATCAAGCTTCATATTCATAAGTACCAAAACAGCCACCAACAAAGCAGATCGAAACAAAACGATGCCTAACTGATAGTTACAAGTGAAATATAACAAATATCCATGTTTTGTCATTCATCATATAATACATGTGAAATTAATAGAAAATAAAATAATTAGGCACAAACCTGGCAAGCTACTAGGGGCAGGAGCAGGTGACATATCAGTTTCTGAATTTGTATCACTTGAAGGGGCTGGTGAAGGAGCGTCACCGATATGTAGTCTCTCCCACAACTCTGAACAGTTAGTTTTCCAAAAGCCAATCTTTTCATTGTGACGGTCATAGGTCACAAGTGTATTACGAACAATGATGCCTGCCATTAAGGTCATTACTTTAGCTACTCAAAATGGCTAAGTTTCTAAATGCATAAAATAATAAACTGTTGTCATGATCTTGTAATAGACAATTGTGACAGCCTATGAATGAATCAAGAAAATCAAGAACCTATCATTCAGACAATTGTGATAGCCAAGGAAACAAATTTAAATAAACAGACCTCATAGCACATAGTAACAACTAACAACAGACTCATGTTTTTCTTCACCATTATGGAAGGAGAGAGAGAGAGATTTATATATCCTAAATCATTTTAGTTTTCAACTGCGACTACATTATAGAGAAAGCTACATTTGTAGGCTCAAGTTTTGCTCACAACTACATAAACATAATAAAAAACATAAAAAGCTAAATATGCCAGGTTGTCTGAAATATAGAAATAATAAATAAAGAATACTAGCTTGCTTGTTTCCTTCAGCAAAAAATGGTATTTATGCCTTTCATAATGAAGACTAAGCTTGCGCATCTATGCCAGTCAGATTTTGTGCTACAATCATGCTTTCAGAAGCGTGCTGTACACTATTGGATTGAATGAGTAAGGGCAAGAGATGCTACTCTGAAGACATAAGCAAATATTGACAATGAAATGCAGTGCTCAGATTTGATAATTTTAATTAGTTATTCAACTCATAAAGTTTGAATAAATCAAGCTAAAAGAAAATACATATATTAAGATCATATATAAGGAGAGAACATGCTAAATGTTTCTTCCAAGCCAGTCACCTAAGTTTACAAAAAAATCCAATATGCAAGTGTATAAGCAGGTCAGAGTAACACTGCATATCATACTATTCACTCAGCCTAAGCTAATAACATTTACTATGCAAGATAAGATCCGAAAGTGCTGCATATAAGGATGCAATCTAATATTGGTTGTAATTCTACAGAATAAGTCTGTAAGCTTGTGCACTTTATAAGCCAATAGACGTAAAAAGAGAGTCCAGCACGTATTGAGGAATGACAATTCAGAGTTGTAGAATAGATATACACTCGAGATGACCAATAGCCCAGCAAATTGTACAAGATGTAAAGCAAATGGCAACAGTAAGAAGTGCAAAGATCGTAACACTTGTTTAACGTCCTCTGAAAGTTGAGTGTCTAACCTCCTAATAGTGTTGTTGGATCTTTACCATTTTGGAATACACCCAAGCAATAAGCCCCATCAACTTTGGAGTGCTTCATTTCAGAATTGAAGGGAAGACACAGTACATAACATGAGTAGACAACACCGACAGACAAATTAAACAAACGTTATCTCAATTGATTTAAATAGATATGAGCTCACAATTTCTCCTACCCGGAATAAATAATTTTCAGGTGTAAGTGAGAGCTTCTGTCCATTTCCAAATACCATGTCAACATCTGGAAATACCTCATGTAGCTTTGAGACATTCCTGGAAGCGAGACCATAAATATTTAAGTTCTACACAAGCATCATGGAGTGTATTATAAGAACATTGAGAATGAGAAACAAATTTTAATCATGGTGTGAAAGTCACCTTCCAGCACCTGCAAAGCAGATATCCTTATAATTTGGATCAGGGCCACGAATTTTCTTGAGAGAATGCACTTTACTTGCCACCTATCAATTGAAACATAGAGTCAGCAAACATATTTCTTCAGGAACATAACCACAACTCATTAATTTTTAAGAACAAGATACACCGGTGGTCGTTAAACTTGTCCAAGGTGTCATCTAGGTCCCTAAACTCTTAAAATGCAGATCCAAACCCTTGAACATGTTGAGTATCACTCAAGATCCGATCACTTTAATTAGCATGAACACACAGCCCAGAACCAACTTGCAGGTGACGTAAGAAAGTATGTTGGTTATGGAGATTTGGGCCTTCAGGGGAACAATTAAGAGATATATGGATCTCAAATGGCACAATTAACAAGTTTAATTCCCCAGATCTGAATTTCAAGACTTAAAGGACTTAGACAACACAGGGCAAGTTTGAGGACTGCCCAGGTACTTAGAAGGCGTTTGGTTCGGCCTTTTTGGCCTGTGATCGGTTTACAACGACATCAGTTTCTGCTGTTTTCTGTTTGTTTTGGCCAGCCCGCAACAGATCACAGTGTAATCGGATACTGGGCCATATACAACCTCGTTACCACTCCCCAACCTGCGTTATCTGAGCCCGCAAGGCCGACGCAGCGTCATGGAAATGAAAAGGCACTCCCAAAACCAACCAAACAAAAGACGTTTTTAAGTTCCCTGCAACAGCTACCACCAGCAGCTGATTACGTTGCTGTTCCCGCACACAGCGTGGAACCAAACAGCACCTTAGTCTTTTCAAAATTAGTTAAAGTAGGACCAAGACAAAGACACTCAGCTCTGGTGACATGCAAAACCAACAACAACAAAGCCTTTTAGTCCCTAGCAAATTAGGACTTGGGGTAGGCAAGAGTTGAAACCCACCATGAGCCAACAATGAAAAGGGAAAAGAGAAAAAGAAAGTAGATATATATAGAACAGGGCATCAATATTAGATATATTAATAGGGGATATGACATGCAAAACCAAACAAAACAAAAAGGAATTGTAGGTGCACCAGTCAACAGTGTCCTTGTAATCCAGAAATTCGTTTGTAAAGCAACAGCCAAGAGAATAAGAGAAAAAGGAGGGATACAGTTATTAGCCAATGGACATGAAAAGGCGTCAAGGAGAAAAAGCAGATTGTGCTGAAGTAGAAGTTTAATTAAAGGCGTGACTCGGTCAGAGCTCCCGCTCTGCAGGGGGTCTGGGAAGGGTGTCGGTGGCAAGCCTTACCCTCGCCTGTGCAATGCGAGGAGACCGCGACTCGAACCCGGGACCTTCCGGTCACAGGTGGTAAGACTCTACCGCTTGCACCAGGCCCGCCCTTCTAAAGTAGAAGTTTAATTCTATCTATGAAAGTGTAAACTTATCTAGGTGTCATTAAGATGTTTAACTTCTTTTATGTAAGGCAGAAAAGTTAAAAAGATGGCACTAGTGCAATTTTAGCCACAAATACTATTGATAGCTTCTGAAGCTAGCCTACCTTTTTTACATGGTACACTGCAAAAACAGAATTCCAAGCAAATTGATTTCACATGAAGGAAAAATAACTACAAAAGAACAAAGATCCAACAGAAAAGGTATGGATGTGTAAATAGCTTACAGCATCTCTAAATGCCACGAAAGCTTGCTCTGGCAAATAAGCATATGTGGTTCCACTATCCAAAACAGTCCCATGCTTGCTGTCGAAGATCCTTGAATCTACCCGCAGTGCCTTTCCAGCAACATGTATTTCCTTTAACTCAATGTTGTAATATGGACTGTTGCCAATTTAAGATTAGCTAATAAAAATATGTACCACAAAAAGAATAAGGATCGATTATCATATAGGAAACTATACATTACCTGCGGAGAGGGTCTGAATGTGAAAAAACCATGTCAGAAGGAGCAGGCACTCCACCAAGCACCATAGCACCACCACCAATATCCATACCGCCATAGCACAATGAGAATGAATCACTTATGACACCCTTTCCAACAAGCTGATCCATTATACTAAGTTGACCACGACCAAGGCCCATTATGCCATCAGCATGCTGACTGAACAAATCTCCAGTTTCAGAATTTTCACAGCCAAAAACAGCACGCTGTGGCTTAAGTTCACTCTCTCTGCCAAAAGACACAATGTCCTCACCAAGCACCCCACTGCTGGAGCTCATTTCAGCATACTGCCTCTCATAAGTGCACTGTTTTTTGTCACTGTCACAAGTACAATCGACATTGCATTTTACTGGTGAATATGAACTGGAGAGATCAGGTTGAAATCGTGGATCCTACATCAACCAAACTTCAGATTATCTTACTGTAGATGAATTAATTTCTAGGCATAAAAATCTAAACACCAGTAGAGACTAGTTAATAACAGTGATCTCCAAGACAAAAAAAAAATCGATTCATACTCAAGGTATGGCATATATGGTAACACACAGATTTTCATGTGTTTCGACTTTCGAATTATTATATATTATACACATCAAGGTAGAGAAATACATGCTCATATGATCTTCAAACTTTTGGACATTACAATGTAAAACATAAGATCGTTTCAGATACAATACTTTACATGCCTCGGCAATGATGTATTGATGTGAGTGATTCATTCAATGAACACAAGATCCACTAAGTAAAGATGGTGGTAAAACAATGATGATGGATCCCAAGCCATCAGTGCATTTGCAAAGTTGCATCAAGAACATTTGAGAAGGCTGCAAAAGAATAATCCAGCATCTGAGAAGGGCCTTCAGTTCAATCAAAACTATATTGTATGCTAGCAATATCAATGGGCAACTCAATTTGTTCAAATGCTAAGATACATTGTCTCCTGATTTTATTTACATTTCAAATATGATGATGTGTGGTGATGCCATGACATACCATTGTAAAGCCCTAACCAATTTATGTTTTGTCTTTAGTTTTTTTTTTCACTTTCAACAATATATGATAATTGACATGATAATATGATACCACACACTAATGGGATGTTAGCAAAGTACTTTAAAATACAAAATTATCTCATGGATAACAATTCCAAAGACAGTGCAAAAGAAGTCTGAACATGTACTAGAGCCGTAGTATATTTTCCATTGTGCAGAGATGTATTTTCGAAATGCATAATGAATTAATTATAGCATCTACTCCCTCTGATAAAAAAAATATTTTACGTATTTGACTTTGTACAGTCTTCAATGCATATCTTTGACCACTAATTTCTTCTAGTATAAATTCTTAAAATCCTTTAGATTGAAGAGATTTTGCTTGTATTTTGAATACAAATCTACACATCTAACTTGCAGGTTTCCAAACTAAATAAGTTAATAGCTATTGGTGTTTTTAGTTTTTAAGGTTTGACCAAATCATGTCCTAAACAACATTTTTTGTGACCGGAGGGAATATCAAATTTCAATATGGTGGAGCAATACTATACCTTGAGTAGAAAAAGAGTGTTCAAGGACGAAAAAGGTTACACAGGTATGACCAAACCAAACACCTGTCATTTGTTGGCAATATACGTGGGACCCACTTAATATTGAGAGAAAGTTAAGCAGCTGTCTAACAATTGACGACGACAAAAACAAGGTCATTGGTTGGCAATCCAATGTTATAGGTTGTGGCCAAGATTGGCAGGCTACATGTTGGGAAGTGTGGACAATAGACTATGCATTTCAGGAATCGACCATTTAGAAAAGCAAATAAATTGTGGGCAGCAGGTTGAAGCCAGTCCCCACATCCTCAGTCGATACTAGGACAGTTTATCAACAACCCATGACTAAATTGCAACTCCCTAATCTACCTGCAAATGAAATGTTAATCTTCTGAAAACTAGAGTTCATATATGCTGATGTGCATCAAGTAGTCTCAGAAACCCATATAATTCGCATACCATGAATTAGCTAAGTTCACTAGTCCAGCTTCGCAACTTGGGTTCACATATCCATGCGTGCTATCATCCTAATCAATAATATCATCTCACAAGTTCCTAGCTGATAGCTGAGCAGAGAAGCAAAATAATACAGCCCCACCTGGTGGTTGCCGCACTGCTCGCAGGAGGCGCAGGGCACGTAGGTGACAGTGCTCCCGGAGTCAACGATCAGCGCGAACTCCTGCGGGGGCGTCCCGATGTACAGTCTCGTCGTGTAGTACCTGAACCACCACGACGGCACGCACCAGCCTCCCGGCTCAGATCCAACAGAGCAAGCAAACAAAAAAGAAATTGGGGGAAAACAACAGCGTAAAGAAACGAACTGTACCGACCCGTTCGTGAGGAGATCGTCGTGGAGGCGCATGCGCGCGTTGGGGTGCGCCCCGTCACCAAGGTCGCGCCGCGACGAGGCGGCGAGCCGGCTGGCGTTGGGGTACGAGCGCGTGAGCGGGAGGAACAGCGGCGGCCCCGGCGCGGGCCGATCGGGGGATCCAGCGGCGGCCCTGGACGCGGCGGCCCTGGACGCGGCGGCCAGGAAGAGGATAGCGATGGAGGCGGCGGCGAGGGCCTGGAGCGAGCCCGGCCGAGGCCGGCCGCGACTCGCCATGAAGTGGCCTCCTCGCGCGGGGAATGAGGGAGGAGAGGGTGTGGAGGAAGAGGTCGTCGCGCCGAGAGGGGCGAAGCGAAGCCGGGCCGAGGCGACGACTCGTTAGAAGAGGCAGAGGCGGGCGGAGGGGTAATTCGGTAATTCACAGCACCATCGCGGGCCCCGTCGGGCACGTCGGATATTGGAGTGTTCTGCTTACCGTTGCAGCTGCAGAACGCCCCGCAGATCCTTCGTATTATTCGACCTGATTAGTGGGGTCTACACTCCTGGGCCCTACGAGTCGGGGGCTCAGGCGTGGCCGCGTGGGACTGTCACTGGATAGGGCGGGTAAGCTGGGTCTCCTGTCTTTTTTCCAGTCGCAGCACAGGAGTGGTAGAGTGGGCGTTGACGAGACGACTCACAAGTCACAAACTGACTTTGACAAGGTAGAGCCGGACTGTTCGCTTAAACGTATCCGTAGAAACCACCGGCCGAACAGCTCAGCTTGGAAGGCCAAACTTGCGTGGCTTTTCAGTTCAGTCCTCCATGCTCCAGCACAGTTTCAGCAAATTTTTATGCAGATCAGAAAGTTCTCACTTTCAGAGGTCTCTTTACAATTAGGGAGACAATGGCATCATGCTTTTCATGCACACAAGTTATGTGTCAGATCTGAAAGTACAAGCCATGTCAACAGCAAGTAGAGAATATTTTTTGTTAAAGATTGTCAGATGTGCAAGCTTGCCAAAGTTTTGCACTCAAGGCACCTTTAGGCTTTCCCTAGTAAAAAAGGTAATATTCCTACATGAGACAGACTGGGTGGCAGAGGATATAAAACATTCAACAAGTCAGGAATAAGCACAGCTAAAAGCAAATAAGAGTGCAAGGTACATGTAGCAGGACATGAGGGCAATTATAATTTGACCGGCGCCTCACACTACATCAGTTACACCTCCAAAACCCACTGCTGTGGACGAGGAAACAAGAAAATGACGAGAGTTACATCTCCATCTCATGGGAGTTGGGAGGGACTGGTTTCCATGGCGTGCATCACCAGCACAATACTTTTGAGGGAGATGAGTCGAATCTATGGTTGCGGAGGGCGATAGCCAGATCCCAGATAGTTTGCATAGCTGCTGGAAGCAGCCGGCCCGGATGCGCCGGCGTAACCTGCATAGGTGCTTGCAGCTGGTGCTCCTGGGCCACCATACGCAACTTTATAAGGGTTTGAATTGTATGATGCTGCCACGGACCCTGGGGTGTACTGGAATGGTTTTGGGGCGCTGAACGGTTCACCGTAAGAAGAAAACGCACCACCTTCATATACTGGGGCTGGTGGTGGGTGGTGGTACCGGTCAGCAGCTCCATATCTATCAGGAAGAGGGGCACGGGAGGGCATTGGAGCAGGGCCACGGGAGGGCATTGGAGCAGGAGCACGCTGCCAGTTAAAGCCTGGAAATGGAGGCCTGCGAGCAGCTGAACCAACAGAACCAGCAGGTCTCCTAGGAAATGAAATGCCAGGGCCTCGAGGCTTCTTTGCATAAGTACGCCCAGCATCAGTTGATGGCCTTTTCTCACCCTTGGGCTTTAGCTCAGATACACGCTTTTGGAGAGGTCCAAGTGAACACTCCTTCTGAAGCTTATACACTTCGATACACTTTATCACAGCCCTCAAAGCAAGTAGTTCCCTAGATTTTGGGTCGTCCTGAAAATTGGATCCATCGAGTCATAAGACAAACATGTAAGTTATAATATAATAACAAACAATAGAAGTGAAACAAAAAGGATTGCAAATCGAATGTGAAACTATCATAGCACATGATTTAATATAAGAAAGGAGTTATTTCACATCAGCACTAATAACATTGTGGCCATTATCACACAATGCATAAGGCAATTGTGAGATACAGCCGAAGCGCCTAACAGAACATATACAGTAACATTCACAGACAGCACACCAAGCATTATAGACTGAGAGCAATATACTGTTTCCCTAGAAAATTCTGGAGGTAAAGGTAAAATAGATTTCAAGAAATTAAAGATGGGCTCTTAATGGTCAGTCTTATCAAACTTCTCAATAGTTCCTTCCTAGTTTGAAGTAATAGGAACTGGTATTATCCAGATTTTGCTCTCTTGAACCAGTTGACAGGCTGAGGAACTCATATCCAATTAATACCCATACTCCCTAGATTGGATCTTTTTTCCATTCTTTATTTAGTAAAAAACTAGTCCTCCAAGTTATATATTGAAAAAACCAAATTATCCACCAAAAAGGGTTAAAAAGTTAAATTAGATCTACCACGGACTTTTCAGACCTCTTTAAGAAGACCAAAAACTGAAATAAAAAATAGCTTCATAAAAAATGAAGCTTTTATTTTACAATACTATACTAGACAATGAAACAGTTCTGTCAATGAAGCAATATCAACCGTTGAACTATGCAAGCCACTAGACAGACTCATCAAGATCACAAAAAAGGATAAAATCAACAAACCTTTAACGAGGTCGCAGTTGCATCCCCATTATTTTCAATTGTATCCTTTAGTTCCTCAACATATGTCTTCAGCAGAGGTGCAGGGGGGAATGTCTCCGAAAGCCCGAAAGCTTGTACAAAATGAACTGCATCAATTTGCCTGTGTCGCTTAACCAACTCCTCAATGATACCTAGAAACATAAAGAGAATGTCAACAGAAAAACTTAAAACACTAATTTCATGCAGGCACTCAATGCTTTGCACTTGAACAAAACAGTAAGGAAGTTTTAGTTCCCTAGATGGTTTGGGGGCTTAGTGACAATGAACAGCAGCAGCCTGACAAATGAAGGGATTAGAACGCCTTGTGGCATTCTGGGTGGATACCAACCTGGCATTTTCTCATTAAGACCAAGAGAGCGACAGCACACAGCAGTCTGCTTGCGACGAGAGACAGCAACTACGATCTTGCATAGTTCATCTTCGTCAAGCACCGAATCAACATTAAAAGTTGTAAGAAGCTGCAGGAAAGCCTGTGCCTCCAATGAATAGCCATTAGAAGCATCCAGGTCAACCTCAGCTAACTTACTCTTCCACTCTTCGGCAATTGCCTTGGCTTGCTCCTTAATTTCAGAGCTCCAAGGGTCGTTGCCACCAGGCTCCGTCGTCCCTACTGCAGGTGCTATAGCTTCCATTAAAACAATGCAGCTCTTGCGCTGAACCTCAAGAGCGTTATGTTTACTCCCAGGTGAATTAGTTTGGTCTGGTGGGAAGAAACCCTCCAGGGAATTAAGTACAAAGCGGGCAGGATCAGTTGCACATTTTAGTGCAACAGAAAGTTCATCACGAAGGCTAGCAAGTTTTCTAGAATTTTCTGAAAGAAATTTCAGAAGGCCTTTGGTGTCCATCTGCTCACATAGTTGCTTCAATACAGGACGCGGCTTAGTCTCAACAGGTGAAGCTTCAGATGCCTCGCCCAACCCACTAGCAGGGGTATTCTCCTCTGAAGCACGAGATGCATTGTTGTCATTGATTGAGGTACTTACCTTTTTGTCTTTGCTTCCACTTGCATCAAGTATCTCAGCAAGCTCCACCTTATATTTTTGCCGAACCTCTGCTAGAGAAGAGACAGCAGCATCCCTTAGCTCCTGAAGCTGATTCAGGGAGGCACGCTCTTTTGTAGAAACATTAGCCTCTTTCTCTGCAATCAACCTACGAGCTTCAGCTTTCTTTTCCTCTAATGCCTTCTGCTTCTCTACCAGTTCATCAAACTTGCTTCTGTACGACTTAGACTTATCAAGGCTGAGGAAATGCCCTTTGATATCTTCCCATTGAATGCCATTTTGCAATTGCAGAGATGCTTCGGTGTGGGATTTCAACTTTCCAAATACTTCAGCAAGCTGTTCCACTAATGGCATTGCAGATTCAGAACCACCAGAATTGTTCAAAGTCGCTTCCGTAGCCATTTTGCAACAAAACCAATAATAATCTGGAGGGACATAGGGTAAAGTACTGTCAGTTGAAGAACAGGAATTGAAAGAGAACAAGTACAGGTTGTTTCCACGACACAGCAAGCAAAAAAATCAAATAAAGAAACACGATGTAAAACCTATAAAGCTAACCAGAGCAGAACAATGGACCCTGTTTGCCTTCTTTGTGTGTGTGTGTGTGTGGGGTGGGGTGGGGTGGGGTGGGGGGGGGGGGGGGTAGTTCTTCGTTAATTCACTGGATAAAGCATGATAGCTCTCTAAGTGATGGTAAATGCAATCAACAAAGATAGAATTCACATAAATTACACTGGTGTGTTTTCTGAATTTCTCAGGTTGACAGTGAACGAAAAGAAGACCAACCTTACAGAGTAGCATGTGTAATCTATAGAATCCCCCTTCACACCAAGGCCCTGTTTTCCCACTTATATTCAGCTTCCCACTGAAAAAAAAAACTAGAATCCCACCAAAAGCTTCGATTATTTTTTATTCTTCTGACCTCCACATCAGAACTTTGAACTAGCCTGATCGAGAATCGAAAAAATCCCCGCGGTATGGTGATTATAAGAGAATCGATTATAAGCAGAAACAAACAGGGCCCAAAAATATGTGTTTTACTGGGCAGTTAATTTGCCATCCACTGCTAATGCTAAGAACAAAAAATAATATTATTTGCTAGTAGATGCTGACCTATGTTTTTTCTCCTTTATGCTGTAGTAAATTTGCAATTCAGAATTTCTTGTGCCTAAGTTCTTTGAGTACTGCCAAGCCGATTGTTCAAAACAGCCAGATTTGACTGATCCAGGATTGATTTTGGGTTCGGCTGAGTTAAAACGATATATTATCCAATAACAAAGCAAATCAGAAACAGACCATTTTGTGATCAGATTTTGTTGTGGAAGTACTAATACCTAAGTAATAACAGGCGAGTAACATCTGTTCAGTCAACCCACCTTGTAGTGATCACACGAAATAAGCCTCACAATCAGCCTAGTCACTGGATTTCTAAGTTATGTAGTATATATTTTGAAACATATCATTTCATACAGAAGAATGCCAAAAACAAA